TCGCAAAAACAATTTCTTTCATCAGTGTGCTTCTCAACTTGAAATCACCTGGAGCTTTGTATAATAATAGTACCTAGTCAACACCCTGAGAAATTCTGACTGATCTGGGATGTATCCCAAGTGATTCAAATGTTAGTTAAGTTTGCAAATCTTAAAATATTTGTACAAAAGACTTGGTCCTATTATATAATAGTGCTTAATAATTTTAAAAAGTATATAACCTACTTTTTAAATGAATCAAACCAAAGTGTCAAAAGCTATATCTTAGATCTGCTTGAGTAGAACTGATGGTAAATTTAATCTCCGTTTGCTCTTTCTTGAAACCTCATAGAAACTATAATATAGGACTTGTTAGGCTTTTAAAAAAAAATTGTGTTTGTCTCTTTGTTTTATAAATATGTAAACCCACAAGTTTATGGGAGTGAAGTTTATGGGAATGATAGTGCCTGTTTCCTGTTGCCTTTCAGTTTGTTGTAAGTCTGTCCTTCACACTCGAGGGAAGTTATGTGAAGAGCCTTTGGAGAGTAATAGAGGAAATAAAAAACATGAACAATACTATAAATCAACTAGACATAACATGCACAGAACATTCCACCTAACAACAGCAGAATACATACTCTTCTCCAGTGTGTATGGAATATTCTTTACAATTGGTCAAATGCAAGTCATAACACAAGTCTCAGCAAAATTTACAAAGTTTGCAATCATGAATATTGTCTTCAATCATAAGAAATGAAACTAGAAATAAATAACAAAGAAAACTGGAAAATTCTTAAATATGTTGAAATTAATTAATATGTTGAAATTAAACAACATATTTTAAACAATGGGTCAAAGAAACTGATGCGTCTACATTTCCATTTCACAAGAAAAATTAGAAAATATTTAGATATTTTAAAAAAACAAAAATATAACATACCAAATTTATGGAATGTAACAAAACATACTTAGAAAGATATTTATAGCTGTAAATACCTATATTTTTAAAGAATATCTCAAATAAATAAGCTAACTTTGTACTATCAGAACTAGTAAAGCAAAAAGAGCAAACTAAACTCAAAGTTAGCAGAAGGAAGGAAATAATGATTAGAGAGAGGATAAATAAAATTGAGAATACAAAGACAAATGACAGAGATTCAGAAAATCAAAAGTTAGTTCTTTGACAAGATCAACAAAATTTACAAATCTTTTAGCTTAAACTGACCACACGAAAAAAGAGAAATATACTTCAAATTATGAAAATTAGAGTGGGGACATAACTGCTAATGATAGAGAAATAAGAAAAATTATGAGAGAATATTATCAGCCATTTTATGCAAAAAATAAGGCAACCTAGATGAAATGGATAAATTCCTAGAAACACAAAATGTATCAAAACTTACTCAAGAAGAAACAGAAAATCTCAAAAAACCTACAACAAGCAAAGAGAGTGAATCCGTGATTTAAAAAAATTCAACAAAATAAAGTCCAGAACAAGATGGTTTCATGGGCAAATTTTACCAAACACTTAAAGCATTAAAAGGAATTCCTTTCAAATGCTTCTAAGAAATAGGAGAGGGCACTTCCTAAATCCTTCCTAACTCATAATATGAGACCAATATTACCTTTATACCAAAACCAAATATCACAAGAAAAGAAAACTAAAAACCCATATCCTTTAAGAATACAGATGCAAAAATCCTCAGCAAAGTACTAGCAAATTGAATCCAGCAGCATATTAGAAGGATTATATACCATCACTGAGATTTATCCCAGAAATGCAAGGGTGGGTCAACATATAAAAATGAATAAATGTAATATACCATATAAATAGCATAAAGGGGAAAAGACATGATGATCTCTATTGATATAGGAAAAGCATTTGACACATTTTCATGGAACAAACACTGCAACAAACACACTAGGAACATGGGAGACTTTCTGAACCTGATAAAGAAAGTTTATTTAAAAACCCATAACAGCCTTTCAAAGGTGAAACACTGAATAGTTACCCTTAAAATCATTAACAAGACAAAGATTTCCACTCTTATCACTTATTTTTATTATTTTTCTATAATTTCCTGGGATTTACTAGCCAGAGTAATTAAGCGGAAAAAAAAAAAAAAGGAATTCAAACTGGAATTGAAGTGAAACCATCTCTGTTCACAAATATGACACAATATTATATGTAGAAAACTGTAAAGAATCCAAACAAAAACTAGCTAATAAGCAAATTCAAGAAACAGCTAATAAGCAAATTCAAGAAATTAAATTTACAGGATGCAAGATCAACATGAAAGAATCAGTAGCATTTCTATACACTAGCAATAAGCAATCTAAAAGGAAATTAAGAAAATAGTTTAAAAATTGACAATAACATCTAAAAGAATAAAATAGGACAGAATTTAACCACGGACATATAAGACTTCTATACTGAAAACTGTAAAACATAGCTGAGAGAAATTAAGAAGACCTAAATAAATTGAAAGACATCTTGCGAGTATAGATTGGAAGACTTGATGTTGTTTAGATGTCAATATACTCCAGAGAAATTGAGATTCAATGAAATCTCAATTGAAATCTTGATATTTATTTTCAAAAATGGAAAAGCTGATGCTAAGATTCATATAGAATTGGGAGGTGTCCTGCATAGACAAAATAATCTTGATAAACAAGACCAAATTTGGAAGACTCAATATCCTGATTTCATAATTTTCTATAAAGTTATGAAAATCAGTGTGCTACTGGAATAAAAATAGCACTATACATTGGTGAAATAGAATGAATGGCCCAGAAATAAACTCATATATCTATGATCAACTGATTTTTGACAGGGGGCCAAGACCATTCAATGGAGAAATAATCATCCCCAAATGATGCTGACATATGTGAATACCCACATGCAAATTACACCATGGAAAAAATTAACTCAAAATGGATGCAAGTCCTAAACATAAGTGCTAAAATTCTTAGGAGAAAACATGGGAGTAAATCTTGATGATCTTGGATTTCACAATAGTTTCTTAGATATGACACCCAAAACACAAGCAACAAAAGAAAAAAATAGATAAATTGGACTTTATCAACATTAAAAACTTTTGAGTATCAAAGAACACTATCAAAAGAACAAAAACATAACCCACAGAATGGGAGAGATATCTGCAAATCATATGTCAGATAAAGAATATATAAACAGAATATATAAACATTTAAATATAAAGAAACAGAAATTAAAAAGGTGAAATAAAGTCTTCTACACAGCCATGTGAGAAGCTAGAAAATAATCGAGCAATGCCTTTAAATTTCTGAAGGCAAATTATTTCCAGTCTAGAATTCCAAAAACAATCAAAATGTCAATCAAATAAGAGGGCAGAATGAGTATATTTTTCAGATATGCAAAGGCTGAGAGAATTTACTTTCCTCACATCCTTTCTCAGGAAGCTAATGAAGAATAAACAGAGAAAAGACAAGGCCCGTGGTTCTAGAAAATGAATGACTTTACAAAAGAGAAAGGAGAAGAGAATCTCTAGAATGATGTTGAAGGGAGGTGTGTAGACAACAGCTGTGCACCAAGATAAACTGGAGAAGAAAGAAGACGACGTTGGGATGACTTCTTCAGTGAGAAGAAATGGGTAGATTGTGTGTTTGAATATATTGATAGAGATTAACTGGGAAGAGTTGTGGTTTGAATTACAAGTATACAGCACGCTCAGCAGAAAAAAAAGTCATTAACTCCAGGGAAAATAAAAAGTCGTGCAGGGAAAGAAAGAGATACCAGAAAATATTATATGGCCTAGTCATGAATAACAATTACATAGTAACAATAAAGTAAATGCCAAATGCCGATCCCAGCCACAGTTACACACGTATGACACCATCAAAAACATTAAGATTCGGGGATTTCTGGACTGGGGAGTGGAAAAAGAGTTAGATCCTTATCTTTTGTAATGAGAAATCCACATATAATGCCCAAAACTGAAAAAGAAAAAAATTAGCCATACAAGCGTGTTATTTAGAGGTCTAGAACTACATCTCTGGGGCCCTTGTGCAGTTTAGACTTAATATCAACAAACAAGAGAAGGCAAATCACCAATTTAAAGCTATTGCTAGTAAATAACCTTTAGGCGCCAACCAATGACTCTTGTGAACAAAAGGTCTCTGAAGTGGAATTTGGAGGAAAGGACTTCATTCTAGTGAACCGTTGTAAACTGGGGAGACACACCCTGAAGTGTACCAGGAAGGTGCGAGTGTTCCAGAGAACAAAGAAAGAGCTGGTTTCATTGCAAAAGTCCCCGCCCAGGTTCCCAATCTGGTCGTTTATTCAAATGAAGGTGTCAAACTTGCTTGGTTCTGATTGGTCAAGACAGCTGAGCCTTGATTGGCTGATTCAGGTGAGCCCTGAAACTCCCAAAGTTAAAAAGGTGTGGCTTTTCTGGGAACTCAGAGCACTGTATTACCTCTAGTCAGCAAATGGCTGCTTGCTTCTATTTTAAATTTAACCCCAGTTAGCCACTCAGGATCCTTGGACTGGCTATTTTAGGTTTATATTTCTTCACCTGCTATGTATAATAACAGCCCCTTTCTATCCGCTGGACTCCCTCATCCCTTTCCTATCTTAATTTTCTCTGTCACACTCATCATTACATAGGAACATAAAACAAGTGATTGATTAAACCATATTTGTCATATAAAATTATCTTAGCTACTAATGTCAATGGCATCGTGACTTTCTATTGTTTTAACTTTTAAAGTAAATTATTTCATGATTCAGCATATTTAATTTTTTCATAGCATTCTTCCCCAACCTAAATCAATCACTGAAGAGTTATACTAGTTAACTTTATGTGTTTCAGTACGTTGGGAATTAGATGTAGACATTTATGTAAATTATTATTAAAATGAAATACTGAGACAAAATCAAAAAAAGCATTGCTATGACGCTTTATTTCCATTTTCAAAAATTTAGTAGTTACATGCACAGTGTAATTTAAAAAATCATTTTGAAAATCATCACAGGCATCTATATCATTCATCTAAAAACAATTCATGCTATTAATAGCTCTTCCAAAATGATTTGCATGGAATTCACTAAGAACCCATGAGCTCTGTGTGCTTTCATTTTTTCATCTCTAAAATGTGAGCATTGGAATTCATTTTTATTTTTCCTTCTAATTAGTCTGCTTTCAACTGTAATATTTTATACTCCAGTAAATCAATTATATTTGATTTGATGAAATTATTGAAATTTCTTCAAGTGTCACTCTCCCTTCTATCTATTTTCCAGCCACAAGGGACTTCTTTTCTTTCATTACATCCCATCGCCTTTCCCTTTTCCCACTGTCTCTGTGGAAGAGACACATTTTTTTCTCTCTCTATTCTTCCAGGAAACCCTCTAGGACATACTGGTTGCAGGACTCTGTTCCCAAATGCCCACCTAACTTCCCACAAACATTATGTTGTTCTTTTGCCTTCTTCTTCACTAGAATGTAAACTTTCTACATTAAAGAAAATTGCTGTTTTCCCTTCCTTATCCTCTACATAATAGGGCTCAAAAGTTTTTGAATATTAAATAACATAAGTAAATATTTTATAAAGAGGGCACATTTTATTTGTGTAGCATAACAATATACAAAATGATTTTACATTCTGCTCCCCGACTCCCTGCAATGGGATAGAGTTGAGTGAGAGGCATGAAGACAGAGTCCTTACAGCAAACCTTATAGATGCCCAAACTAAAAACAACATAGTTTATGACATCTCTTGAGTCAATCCATTAATAAATAAAGGGAGACAATGCAGTTGTCTGGAAACCAAATTAAGAATACTTTCTATCCTCTTCTTGGCACTGGCAGGAGACTCTCTCCTCTCCACGTTCACCTCCCCTGGTTTCCTCAACTCCCTCCAAATATTCAACACATCCCTTAGATGGGAAAGGAAAAAAAGAATTGGGTGACAACAAATTCCTTTGGGCCTTCTGTGAATACCAAAACTACAATCTGAACAATGACCACTTTGTTTATCTGACCTGGGAGAGTCTTTACTTTGGAAATTTTCCTAGATTAAATACATGCTTTCTGAGCTTTCTTCCAATAACTTGGATGGGTGAGACACCTAATTTTTATTTCTTATTTTGATTAAGAAAGGATCTCCCACTCCAATGATACTAACTAGAGTTGTCATATATCCTTTGATATTTCCCCTTTAGTAAATTTGTTTGAGAAACAGATTCCTGGCTGAGACTCTCTGGCTAATTGGCAGCGCTAACCTAAGAGCTATAGGGCCCCTTTTAATGACATCAGCAATTATTGGTTTACTTTTGAAAGATCGAATGCTGATTAAGTTTTTGTGAATAAACAGCTTGTTGCTTATGTTAATTATTATATAATGTGGCACAATGTCAAGTATGCATCTTTGAATATGTATCAATTCACTTTTTATTTGATTGCAATACTAACACTAATCATGCATGATCAGCTGAATTTATTTCTTAAATTATAGTCATTGGGCATAAGAAAGAAAATATCTGCAACTATCTCTACATTTCAGTATTACTTTTTGGTCAATTTCTTGAATCTTAGAAGTTGGAAAATAGAAATCCAAGAAATCAAGATGGGACAATGACATCAGAACAAGAGAAAACAACATATTTCAAAGGCAGAGAAACATTAAAGGGCCTGACCTGTTCAGGTGTTGCTGTTACTCTAGAAGAGCAAAGGTGCAGGGTTCACGAGGTGAAAAATGATGCTGGAAACACAGCCTGGGAGCAGAAATTTAGCTTTTACTTTTGGGGCAATAAGATGATACTGAAACATTTTAACTGAACATTTATATGATCAGATTATATAAATGCAATTTTGCCTCCATTTATAATTATTTTTATTGCTACACAATACTTTTATTTTTCAATGCATGGGCTGCATAGTGTTTTACCCAGTGAGTAATTAATGTATCTGTTTTCCTCTGATTGATACTGATTTTTCATTTATTTTTATTTTGAGTAGTATAAACATTTTAAATATTCACATTTTTCTCTTATGAAAAATTCCCAGAAGTAGATTTCTTGTTCAAAATGTAAGAACATGTTATGGCTTTTATATTATATATGCTGTTTCACAGCTTGTAGTTTTGACCAGCCAGGCCCAATAAGACCATTTATAAACTCTGTGTTTAGGAATAATGTAAATTACTTTAAGAAGCATATAGTTTGTGTAAGAGAATCTTTGGAGACTCTGTTGGCTTCATGACATTATTTCATGGGAATTAAGAAATATCCTAGAACAGACATGGAGAAAGAAAAAGCAAATACCTGAGGTTACTAGATTTAACATAAACAAAAAAATCACTCAATTAAATTTGAATTTCAGATAAGCAATAATTATTTTTAGTAAAGTATATTCCATGTTTTATTCCACATAGAAGTGCAAAATTGTGTCAATGGGTGTAGCCACCTTTAATTTTGATAGACAGTGATAATTTCTAATGTTATTGATTTATGATTATATTGTTTTATTGTTTTGGGTTTGTCCATATTGTTTTGGGTTTTCTTTGCAGTTAGTATATAAATGGTGAATAAAGGAAGCCCGGGGATTTTAGGGAAGTAAAACTATTCAGTATGATATGATATAATAATAGTTGGATACCTGTCATTATTTATAGCTGCTTATCTTGTGACTTAATTTGTAGTCAGTTATATGAACACATCACATTTTTAATAGGCAGTTTCAAATAAAATGTAGTTTTATTTCATGTTACATTTTTCATATACATCAACTAGATCTATTTATAATTTATGATAATTTTTCTCTGCCCCTACTTATTTTGTATTTACTTGACCTGTTATGAATTCATGTTAACTGAAATATTTTACAAGTAATATGTTTCTAGCTATCTCTCCTTGTATTTCCCATAATTTTTGTGTTAACAATATTTATGCTTTGTTATTGGGTACAAAGATATTAAGTCTTCATTGTGGCTTATATGATATGCTGTTATAAAATTCATTTTTTGCTTTGTTCACTACTTTAGCACTAATTTCATGATATTAAACTAATTTCATGATATTAAACTCATGACTTTTCTTTTTGTTTACATTTGCCTGGAATGTGCTTGCACATTTTTTTTCCAAGTTATCTGGGCCTTCTTGTTAGGTTTTCTTTTAGAAAATAGCTAATAACTTATATTTACTTAGTAATAACATTGAGTTTTTTATTTAAATAGCTATGTTTAATCTATTTTTATTTAATTCTAAAATATATATATTTGGTTTTGGTTCTGTCAATTATTTTTTGCTTTTAAAAAATTAATTTTCAATTATGCCTTATATAATCTTTGTTTTGTGTATGTGCATCATTATATATTGAATGAAAAATAAAATTTTCACTAATTTTCAAAATAAAAAAGTTTAAATAAAGCTTTAAAATTTAGAAAAAAACATATTTTCAAACATAAAATTGTTCTCTGAAGAAGATATTCAACTTTTATAAAGTTCAATTAAAAGACTGTTTTCCTGAGTTATCTTAAATGTGTCTATTCTTATAACATTTGACCCAGCCAGCATTCAATGCAACCAAAATGTCCTATGTGGTCCTATGTTAGACTTAAGTTACCGAGAATTAACCATTCACACCTTATCATGGAAGTACAGAGGGATCTTTTGCTCCTCTACACAACCACCAGCATGCTCATGTGCTAAAAATTGCACGTGAAAGTGCTTAATCAAAACATTTTGGTTTTCTTTTTCCAAATTCTGCTAATTGCCTTCAGCATGGCTCTGTCCCCTAACCTTTATAAAATATATTCCATATTTAACTTCTTTGAAGTTTCCGCAGAAACTGTCTTCTCTCTTCTGCATCAACTGAAAGAGAGAAACTTTTAGTTTCTTCATATCTCCTGATTTATTTCAATAGACTAAAGTTATAAATGAAATTCTAGTGATTTAAATATATGTTATAAATATTTATATATGCAAAGAACATCTGATTTTATTTTTATAAAAAGATCGTAGATAAGTGTACCTCAGCTGAGTTGAGAACATTTTTTGATTGAATTATTCATATAACTTATTCAACTCTTCAGCTTCCCCTTCAACTAACAAGTGTAGATACAGGCTTATGCATTGTTTAATAATTAAAAATTATAACAAAACATTTAATGTTATATTGGATTTCACTGAGATTGTCATCACTTTAAATTTAGGATGCAATTATTAATTTGAACATTTTATAGCAAGTAGAAATAATAGTTTCTTTGTCCAAATCTCAGTGTACATTTTGCTTCTGTCAACTCTTTGAAAGGTTAGAACTTACTTTCAAAATTCATTCTTCTGGGCACAAAAAGACACTTTTGATAAAAATTCTCTTTCAAGTTTTCTTTCCACCGGTGGATATTTGATCACAAAGTCAGCCTTCAAAAATATCACCATCTTCACTATTTCCAACATATATTTTGAATTTTGGGGTTAGTAAAACTAGAATTGTTGATGTGTCTAAAACTTGGACAAATACAGTGTTTATCATTGTAATTTGTTTTTATAATTGATGAGAAAAAATGCTCCAAACCTGTATGTGAAATTTGAATAACATTTTACAAGTAAGCGATACACAGATTTCAGGTATATTTTTTCCTTCAATTGTGTGAATATTTCAAAATAAATTTTGGGTTGAATTATTTAGGGGATAGCTTTAATATTTCATGTGGTTTATATCTGGGAAAGTAGCAAATTTTTATAAAAATTCAAACAAATAAAAAACTCCAAACAGATGACAAAACTGGTCCTAACTATATAAAAAGTAAATAAAGAGTAAGTATAGAGAAAACTACTTTTGGGAATTTAGTATGTGATTAAAACGTCATTTTAAAAGTCAATGCAGAAAAGATGGCTTAATTCATAAATGTTATCGAACAATTGTATAGCTATATGGAATAAAATAGAAAATGACAAAATATTAACATCTTAATATATATAAAAAACAGTAATAAAAGTTGAACAGCCCAATGAAAATATGGACACAATGCATGATTAGGCAATTCATATATTATGTATGCTAGTAAATACATTTCACATATCAATGGTCAGTAATTATATTAATTTCTAGTGAAAACAAATGCAAATTTAAAATAAGTTATCTTTTGTCTACCAGATTCTCAGACTAGAATGAATGATAATGCCTAGAGTAGAATTGAATGAACAGATGTTCTAATGTACTGGTGATAGGCCTATTTACCTTTTCCTGGAGGTCATTAAGCAACATGTATCCAAATGTTGCATATATATGTGGTATGATGATACAGTAACTCAACTTAGATAAACTTACCCTAAAGAGTTAATTGTGAAAATTTTCACACACACATAGATATATACACACACACACACACTCACATGGTGTGCATACACACACAAACATATATATTTACTCATAGTTTAGGTAAATATATTGTTCACTATATGCTGATATGTCAAGGCTAAAGAATATTGGAAATTATCAGGTCAATAGAATGAACTATTTTAGAAATTGTTAGATTTGACTGCCTATACTTTTGGCCTTAGCTAAATTTTAAAATCTATTACACAGAGACCTGATGTTTGTATGTTCAAAACGAATGGTATTTTAAATGCTCAATTTATTGTTCCATCTTCACTTAGAAAACTGCTCTAAGTAAATGTGTATGTGAATACATATAACATATGTGTATTCTAATTGTTTTTAAAAACAAAAAGAAAAAAATTATGAAATCAAAAAGAAGAAAAAATTAAAAATGTCTATAGGTATATAATTGGCACACTAAGTAATACTCTTGAATTTTTCAAGTGGAAAGAATTTAGCATAATTGGGTGCTAGTTAAGATAATGTGTCATTGAAACATCTTGTTTTTATTACTGCTAATTAGCACCAACATCTATTTTAGCTAGGATCTTTGCCCAGAATAACAGGGAAAGATGGAGCTATAAATAAAATACAAAATCGTGAAGGGATTTTAAAAGTGGACCACTCCAACTCACCACCAAATACCTGACTTCAAGAGTAGGAGGAATGAAGACAGAGACCTTACAGCAAACCTTTGGGAAACATATCAAAATCACAATGAGATCTCACCTCATACTTGTCAGAATGGCTATGATCAGAAAAAAATAATGAATGCTCGAGTGGATAGAGGAAAATGGGAAGCGTTATACACTGCTGGTGGGAAAGTAAATTAGTGCAAGCATTATAGTACAGCAGGGAGTTTCCCCCTAAAATTCAACATACATATGATCCAGCAATTCCACTACTGGATATTTATCCATAGGAAATGAAATCAGCATATGGAAGAGATATCTGCACTCCCATGGTTATTACAGCACTATTCGCTATAACCCAGATATGGAATCAACCTAAGAGTCCATCAACAGATGAATGGATGAAGAAAATACTATACAAAATAGTATAATGGAATACTAGTCAGCCTTAAAAAGGAACGCAATCCCATCATTTGCAACAAATGGCTGAACCTAAAAGACATTATGTTAAGTAAAATAAGCCACGCGCAAACAGATAAATATCAAGTGATCTCACTCATTTGTAGAATTTTAAAAAGCTGATCTCATAGAAATACATAGAATAGTGGTTACCAGAGGATGGAGAGGAAAGGGAAGAGGGGAGCATGGGAAGAGACTGGTCAATGGGTATAAAACTATACTTTGATAGGTGAAATAAGTTCTCTTGCTCTATTGTACAGTTGGATGACTAGAGTTAACAATACTGTACTGTATATTTCTAA